GTTCAGTGAACCTAAGGAGAGTGGTGCAGCAACCAAGGAGCAGCAAAAGGGTGAGGAGAACCCAGAGGCAGCAGCGGAGGAGGACTACGGAGAGAGTATGTGGGGCGCTATTGCGAGCGCGGCATTCTCCAATCCAACTTCGGCTACGGGGGAGTGTGATTGGCTCACCTTGCATCGGCGCATGGGGCATGTGGCCCTGCCCATCTTGCAGCAGCTAGTGAAGAATGAGATGGTTGCTGGCATACGTGTGAAGGGGGAGCCCGATGAGGTGCTTGGCTGCCCGACGTGCATTCAAGCCAAGTTCACCCGGTTTCCGTTCCCTAGTTCGGAGGCAACGGCAAAGGCACCGCTTGATGAGGTGGTGATGGACGTGGTGGGCCCCCTGAAGCTTGGAGCTGCTGGAGCTGAGTATTTTCTCACCATTGTCGACGTCTACACCCGCATGACTTGGGTGTACGTGCTGGCCAAGAAGAGCGACGTGGCTGAAACGTTGAAGACGGATTGGTTCCCGATGGTGGAGCGGCAACAAGACCGTCTAGTTCAGTCAATCCGCACCGATCGAGGGGGAGAGTTCCTGAGCAAGGAGTTTGGGTTGTGGCTGAAGAAGAATGGTATTCGGCACTCCCTCACCATGCCATACTCCCCTGCAATGAACGGCATCGCCGAGCGAGCGAACCGCACAATCACGGAGGCGGCACGCGGGTTGCTCATTGAAGCCGGGCTACCCGACTATTTCTGGCCTGATGCGGTGCGGAGCGCGTGTGTGGCCAAGAACAGAGCCTTGACTCATGTGGGAGCAGACAAATGGGTGCCCTATGTGGAGTGGCTAGGAAGGAAGCCAAAGGTGGATATGCTTCGGGTGTTCGGGTGCATGTGCATGGCGCTCGTGCCTAAGCATCTTCGGCACAACAAGCTTGGTGCCAAGGCGGTGTGGGCCGTGCACTTGGGCATGGCTCAAAACAGCAAGGGATGGCTTCTTTGGGACCCATTCACCAAGAAGTTCTTGGTGAGCAGGGACTGCAAGTTCATGGAGAACTTCATGTACAAGGATTGGAAGGCGGAGAATGAGGCGAAGATAGGCGTGCGGTTTGGGGAGGTGAAGAGTTCCGGTTTGGAGCATGTGGAGCTGCCTTTGGAGCTGAGCAGCGGCAGCACAACCACAAGGCAATCCTCCCTTGTGAATGGGGGAGAGGAGGCCAATGATGCAGAGGAAGAAGAGGAGGAGGTGCAGCAAGTGAGCGAGCGTGCACCGTCACTCCCTTCCCGTACTACGAGTGCTCCACGGATTCGAGCCACACCGCAGCAACGCCAAGGCCTTCAAGTCCCTGCAGCTGAGGAGGAAGGAAGGGGGAAGAGGAGAGTTCAACCCCCTAATAGGCTGACCTATGATGCGCCGGGAAAGCAGGGCAAGACAGCCCTGGCCGGAGCGGCAATGATGGTCGGAGACGACGAGGAGAGTGACTACGAGGAGTGTGCCTTCGCGTTCTTCTCTCCGGTGGAGATGCCGGGAGAACCAGCAACTCTCAAGGAGGCTTTGGAGAGTAGTGATGCTGAGGAGTGGAAGAAGGCCATGGAGAGTGAGCTGAAGAGCATCGAGGAGAATGACACGTTTGAATTGGTGGAGCTACCGGAGGGGCGTACGGCGATAACGTCCAAGTGGCTCTTCAAAATCAAGTCGGATGCCGACGGCAAGATCGAGCACTACAAGTCTAGGCTTGTAGCCAAGGGGTACCAGCAGAAGGAGAAGGTGGACTTCAAGGAGCTGTTTGCCCCTGTGGTGAAGCCGACGACGCTGCGAACCCTATTCGCGGGAGCCGCCATCAAAGGATGGGTAGTAAAGCAAATGGACATCGTAACGGCATTCCTTAACGGCATCCTTGAGGAGGAGATTTTTATGGCGCAGCCAGAGGGGTTTGATGATGGTAGTGGCAGAGTGTGGAAGCTGAAGAAGGCCCTCTATGGGCTGAAGCAGGCCCCTAGGCAATGGTACATGAAGCTGCGCGAAGTGTTGGAGGGGATCGGCTTCACTCCCTCAACGGCCGATCACTCCTTGTTCATGCTTGGCGAGGGGGAGCAGAGGAGTTTCATGGTGGTTTATGTGGATGACATCCTCATTTTCTCACCCTCTTCTGACCTTGTGAAGGAGGTGATGCTGAAGCTTCAAGACAAGTTCAAGTGCAAGGCCCTTGGTGACGTGAGCTTCTACCTTGGGCTCCACATCGAACGAGATGTGGAGAAGCGGTGCATGCGGGTGCATCAACGAAAGTACCTGGAGGCATTGGCTGCCAACTTTGGGCAGAGTGAAGGCCATGTGGCTACACCCTTTCCCTCTGGGTTCAAGTGTGTGAAGGGACCAGAGGAGGAGAGCGTTGGTGAAGAGGAGAGGCACCGATTTCACTCGTTGGTGGGCAGCCTCATGTATGCGGCGGTAAACACCCGACCGGACGTTGCGTTTGCTACCGGGCAGCTGGCTAGGGTTGTGCAATGCCCTAATGAGGAGCAGGTAGCAGCTGGAATGAGGGTGGCCAAGTATCTTGGCCAAACACCGACCGTTGGGCTGCAATACTCGGCGGCGGCACAAAGGCGCCAAAAGGGCGCGGATGGTGTTGAACCCGGGCGTTTGTTCCTCACCGACTACTCGGATGCTTCATATGCATCAGAACCAGAGGACATGACAAGTGTGGGAGGCTTCATATGCTGTGTTGGTGGAGGCCCAACTGCTTGGGAGAGCAAGAAGCAGGTTGACCAAGCTTTGAGCTCGGTGGAGTCCGAGTACATGGCACTCTTCCGTGCCGTACGGGAGATTGTGTGGCAGCGGCGTTTGTTGTCTGAATTGGGGGAGGAGCAGCAAGGACCTACCCCACTGTACTGTGACAGCCAGGGTGCCATTGCTCTTGCTAAGAACCCTGTGTTGCATGGACTCACGAAGCACATGAGGGTGAAGTGGCATTGGACGAGGAGCATGGTAACCGCGGGTGAAGTTGAGTTGCGCTACGTGAAGACCACGGGGCAGCCGGCTGACATGATGACCAAGAGGCTGGTGGAGCAGCAGCATTGGAAGTGTTGCAAGCTGGCTGGGATGGCTCTGAACTGAGAGAGCAACATATCCTAAGGCCAACAATCCGAGGGGGAGTTTGTTGGTGCAACCCTACGGTTTGCACTCGGCTTGTTGTCCGTGTGCGTGAATGTGTGTGTGTATGGAATGGTATGAGGGCATGGGATAATATATATTTCATGCTTATAATTGTGTGTGAATGTTGAGTCATGATGTCGAGTGTGTGTGTCGAGTCAATAGCGAGTTATCGCTAGACGCGTGTTACGCGGTCGTTTGTGTCTCGCGCGCGGTTTCTATTTTGTCGTGCGCGGTTTCTATTTTGTCCTGTGTCGAATGTTCGGCGTGTCGCAGGTGTGTGCAGCAGACCCATCAAGAACTCAAGGATGAGTTTGTGATGAAGAGCCCGAGCCTTGGTGTCAAGCCTCAAGTGATTTCGAAGCTTACCAAAAGGGTACACCTCAAGATATTGAAGATAGTTACATTACTTTGTGTAGTGTAACATTTCACTTGGTGTAGGCCCTAGTGAAGGGTAGTTTCGAGACCCTTCGTGTTTGGGGACAGTGTGGCACTGTTCCACATCACTGTACCTCGGCTCTTGGGGTTTGTAGGAGCTGGGAGTCATTCCCAACTCGTAACTCTTCCTATCTTGTGTTCTAAGACTATAGTGGCTGCCATAGTACCGTTCGTTCAAACCGACGCTGTGTCGTCAATTCTTTATCAAATCGTGCAATCTAAATTGATAATTGTAGAAGACGTGAAGACGCTCCAGATCCAATTTGAATCAAGTCATTTGCAGCTGTGAGCAGAACGCTATCAACGTTTGAAGCCGCTGTGCAGAAATCCGTCTGTGCTCTCTATCTTTCGTTTTAGGCACATTCAAGCCTATTGTGACTATAACACTTCTGACCCAGTTTTTCACGGTTTTCCTTTCAGGTATGTATCTTCGCTTATGGCCAGACCGGTTCTGGGAAAACTCATACCATGTTTGGGGACACCTTCGACGAGACTCTCCGTGGAGTTATTCCACGCTCTATGCAGCAGATTTTTCGAGTCAGCAGTGAAAAGTACACCATGGGATGGTTATAAACCATTCAGGTGCGTTCATGCATCTTTTGTTCTTGGTGGTTCTGTGCAACCTGCAGCAACTGAACATTGTTTTTTGGTATCCTGCAGGTTTCCCTTCTCGAGATCCACAACGAGGCCATCCACGACCTGCTGAAAGGGTACCACAACGATGACGAGGCTACAAGCTCCAAGCCTGAGAAGGGAAGTGTTACAAGCTCGAAGCCTGAGAAGGGAAGTGCGGCAGCAAAGAAGGCGGAGCTTTCTCTGTACAACATCATTCACGAGAAGGATGGCAGCACTACAGTGCTTGGCCTCAATGTTGTCACTGTGCAGTCTGTGGAGAAAGCAGCTAAGGTTTTCGCTCATGCACACAAGAAGAGGTACGGATGATCACAGCTTGCTTGTGGAATTTGCACTTGTGTTCAAGCAAGAGGTACTAAGTTCGAATCATGTTTATTTGCAGGTCCGTTGGAAGGACAGACATGAACGAGGAGTCGTCACGCAGTCATGCCGTTTTCACCATCAGACTGAACGGCAGGAATCGGGTGAGTGATTAAATGTAATTCAAGTCTTGCAGCAGTTTTGGGCGAAACTTGTAGCTCTAACTATTTAATCCTTCTCTTTCCTGTCAGGACACTGGCGAGACAACGCATGGGATCCTCAACTTGATTGATCTGGCTGGAAGTGAAAGACTCAAAAAGTCGAATGCAACAGGATCGACACGGAAAGAGTCCATCGTAAGCAGCTTCTGTTTATTCGCACGTCATATTCAGTGCCTTTACATTCATATGATTCCACCCACACGGTCACGTAATCTTCTGCCGTATGCCACACCCACCTTCAGGCACTCACCAAGAGTTTGAGCTCCTTGTCCCACGTCCTAGAGGCAAGAGCTAAGGGGGAACTGCCACGCTATCGTGACGGGGTGATTGAAAGAGGGAGAATGGGGCGGGGTGATGGAAAGAGGGAGAATGGGGCGGGATGATGGAAAGCGGGAGAATGGGGTGGGGTGATGGAAAGAGGGAGAATGGGGCGGGGTGATGGAAAGTGGGAGAATGGGGCGGGGTGATGGAAAGCGGGAGAATGGGGCGAGGTGATGGAAAGCGGGAGAATGGGGCGGGGTGATGGAAAGAGGGAGAACGGGGCGGGGTGATGGAAAGCGGGATAATGGGGCGGGGTGTTTGAAAGAAGGGGAATGGGGTTGGGTGATAGAAAGAGGGAGAATGGGGCGGGGTGACGGAAAGCAAGAGAATGGGGCGGGGTGATGGAAAGAGGGAGAATGGGGCAGGGTGATGGAAAGAGGAAGAATGGGGCGGGGCGATGGAAAGAGGAAGAATGAGGCGGGGCGATGGAAAGCGGAAGAATGGGGTGGGGCGATGGAAAGCAGGAGAATGGGGCGGGGTGATGGAAAGAGGGAGAATGGGGCGGGGTGATGGAAAGAGGGAGAATGGGGCGGGGTGATGGAAAGAGGGAGAAATGGGCTGGGTGATGGAAAGAGGGAGAAATGGGCTGGGTGATGGAAAGAGGGAGAATGGGGCGGGGTGATGGAAAGCGGGAGAATGGGCCGGGGTGATGGAAAGCGGGAGAATGGGGCGGGTGATGGAAAGCGGGAGAATGGGGCGGGGTGATGGAAAGCGGGAGAATGGGGCGGGGTGATGGAAAGCGGGAGAAATGGGCTGGGTGATGGAAAGAGGGAGAATGGGGCAGGGGGATGGAAAGCGGGAGAATGGGGCTGTGTGATGGAAAGCGGGAGAATGGGGTGGGGTGATGGACAGAGGGAGAATGGGGCGGGGTGATGGAGAGCTGGAGAAATGGGTTGGGTGATGGAAAGAGGGAGAATGAGGCGGGGTGATGGAAAGTGGGAGAATGGGGCGGGGTGATTGAAAGAGGGAGAATGGGGCGGGGTGGTGGAAAGAGGGAGAATGGGGCGGGATGATGGAAAGCGGGAGAATGGGGTGGGGTGATGGAAAGAGGGAGAATGGGGCGGGGTGATGGAAAGCGGGAGAATGGGGCGGGGTGATGGAAAGCGGGAGAATGGGGCGAGGTGATGGAAAGCGGGAGAATGGGGCGGGGTGATGGAAAGAGGGAGAACGGGGCAGGGTGATGGAAAGAGGGAGAATGGGGCAGGGTGATGGAAAGAGGGAGAATGGGGCTGGGTGATGGAAAGCGGGATAATGGGGCGGGGTGTTTGAAAGAAGGGGAATGGGGCTGGGTGATGGAAAGAGGGAGAATGGGGCGGGGTGACGGAAAGCAAGAGAATGGGGCGTGGTGATGGAAAGAGGGAGAATGGGGCAGGGTGATGGAAAGAGGGAGAATGGGGCGGGCCGATGGAAAGAGGAAGAATGAGGCGGGGCGATGGAAAGCGGAAGAATGGGGCGGGGCGATGGAAAGCGGGAGAATGGGGCGGGGTGATGGAAAGAGGGAGAATGGGGCGGGGTGATGGATAGAGGGAGAATGGGGCGGGGTGATGGAAAGAGGGAGAAATGGGCTGGGTGATGGAAAGAGGGAGAAATGGGCTGGTGAGGAAAAGAGGGAGAATGGGGTGGGGCGATGGAAAGCGAGAGAATGGGGCGGGGTGATGGAAAGCGGGGGAATGGGCCGGGGTGATGGAAAGCGGGAGAATGGGGCGGGGTGATGGAAAGCGGGAGAATGGGGCGGGGTGATGGAAAGCGGGAGAATGGGGCGGGGTGATGGAAAGCGGGAGAAATGGGCTGGGTGATGGAAAGAGGGAGAATGGGGCAGGGTGATGGAAAGCGGGAGAATGGGGCTGTGTGATGGAAAGCGGGAGAATGGGGTGGGGTGATGGAAAGATGGGGAATGGGGCGGGGTGATGGAGAGCGGGAGAAATGGGCTGGGTGATGGAAAGAGGGAGAATGGGGCGGGGTAATGGAAAGTGGGAGAATGGGGCGGGGTGATTGAAATAGGGAGAATGGGGCGGGTTGATGGAAAGCGGGAGAATGGGGCGGGATGATGGAAAGCGGGAGAATGGGGTGGAGTGATGGAAAGAGGGAGAATGGGGCGGGGTGATGGAAAGCGGGAGAATGGGGCGGGGTGATGGAAAGCGGGAGAATGGGGCGAGGTGATGGAAAGCGGGAGAATGGGCGGGGTGATGGAAAGAGGGAGAACGGGGCGGGGTGATGGAAAGAGGGAGAATGGGGCAGGGTGATGGAAAGAGGGAGAATGTGGCTAGGTGATGGAAAGAAGGAGAATGGGGCGGGGTGATGGAAAGAGGGAGAATAGGGCGGGGTGACGAAAAGTGGGAGATTGGGACGGGGTGATTGAAAGAGGGCAAATGGGGCGGGGTGATGGAAAGAGGGAGAATGGGGCGGGGCGATAGAAAGCGGAAGAATGGGGCGGGTCGATGGAAATCGGGAGAATGGGGCGGGGTGATGGAAAGCGGGAGAATGGGGCGGGGTGATGGAAAGAGGGAGAATGGGGCGGGGTGATGGAAAGAGGGAGAATGGGGCGGGGTGATGGAAAGAGGGAGAATGGGGCGGGTTGATGGAAAGCGGGAGAATGGGGCGGGGTGATGGAAAGCGGGAGAATGGGGCGGGGTGATGGAAAACGGGAGAACGGGGCGGGGTGATGGAAATCGGGAGAACGGGGCGGGGTGATGGAAAGAGGGAGAGTGGTGCAGGGTGATAGAAAGAGGGAGAATGGGGCTGGGTGATGGAAAGAGGGAGAATGGGGCGGGGTGATGGAAAGTGGGAGAATGGGGCGGGGTGATTGAAAGAGGGAGAATGGGGCGGGGTGATGGAAAGAGGGAGAATGGGGCGGGATGATGGAAAGCGGGAGAATGAGGTGGGGTGATGGAAAGAGGGAGAATGGGGCGGGGTGATGGAAAGCGGGAGAATGGGGCGGGGTGATGGAAAGCGGGAGAATGGGGCGAGGTGGTGGAAAGCGGGAGAATGGGGCGGGGTGATGGAAAGAGGGAGAACGGGGCGGGGTGATGGAAAGAGGGAGAATGGGGCAGGGTGATGGAAAGAGGGGGAATGGGGCTGGGTGATGGAAAGCGGGATAATGGGGCGGGGTGTTTGAAAGAAGGGGAATGGGGCTGGGTGATGGAAAGAGGGAGAATGGGGCGGGGTGACGGAAAGCAAGAGAATGGGGCGGGGTGATGGAAAGAGGGAGAATGGGGCAGGGTGATGGAAAGAGGGAGAATGGGGCGGGCCGATGGAAAGAGGAAGAATGAGGCGGGGCGATGGAAAGCGGAAGAATGGGGCGGGGCGATGGAAAGCGGGAGAATGGGGCGGGGTGATGGAAAGAGGGAGAATGGGGTGGGGTGGGACACTATGGGGTACAGTTTCCTAGGGTTTCATATTTGTACCCAACTCATTTCCTAGTCATTCATTCCTCATTCTTCACACAGGTGGGTGTATTTGAGCATGGGCCACCCGAATATGCAACGACAGTCAGGTCGTTCGACGCTTTTCCCTACGCGCATAGGGATCCGAGCGCTTCCTTGGCATTTGTCGGCAGACGCGGCCGTCATCGCAGGCGCCGAAGTTTTCTTTGCGCGCCAACCAAGCCGAAATTGCTCTGCTAGGTGTATTTGAGCATGGGCTGTGAAGATAGTGTGTAGAGTTAGGATCAGGAGCCATAGCTAGGAGAGTCCTAGCTAGGCAAGAAACAGTTTAGGCAAAAGAGAGAGGTTTTCACTAGCAGCAATGAGGATACATATAGCAAACCCTAGATGGGTTGTACTCGCTATAGAGCACCCCACTACAGGCTAGAGAATAACATTCTGACACACCCCCATAGCCAAAGTGGGGTGTAATCAGTACAATGAGCAAGCAGGTATAGAGCAGGAGTTCACAAAGGTAAGCAAAGCTAGAGCTAATCACAGCGGGCAAGTGAGGAGGAGGAGGGGTTGTGGAGGTAGAGAAGATGGGAGGCAACGACTGAAGCTGCAGAGGCACGGGCACAGGAGCGGCTGACTCAGAGGCTACCGAAGCAAGGGCGACGGACTACTGGAGTAACTGGCTCGGCGGCTATAGAAGAGCGGCAGGAGCAACGGACCCACTGGCGACTGGTGCAGCAGGCTCACTGGCTACCGAAGCAAGGGCGACGGACTACAGGCGCTGCAAGCGACACGACAGGTACCTCCACACAACCTCCTCCAACTGCCCCACACCCTCGACACACACCCACTGCTCAAACCCTAGCTCCACTCCCACGCACCCCCCTAAAACCCTAAACCCCAGTCTCCCACTCATCCACCCCCCTCAACGACAGCTGCAGCAGTGGGAGACAAAGGAGGAGGAGGAGAAGGGCACGGCGCGCACAACGGACACCCCCACAACCACCACCCCCACACTCCTCACCCCCAAACCCTAAAACGGGTGGGATAGGGGCAGGAGCGCGGGGGACGGAGAGGGGGGGGAAGGCGCGCGCCTCTAGGGCGCCAGAACGGACGGGTGGGGCGAGGGAAGGGGCGTGGCGCGCGCTGCTCCCCTGGGCGCCGCGACGGACGGGCGGGGGGGACGCGCGCGCGGCTCCCCAGGGCGCCGCGACGGCCTGGCGGGGCGCGCGCGGCCTCCCGAGGGCGCCGCGACGAGCTGACGGGGCGCGCGCGGCCTCCCCAGGGCGTCGCGACGACCACGCAGGGCGCCCGCTGGCTCCCCAGTGCGTCGCGACCGACGGGCGGGGCGCTCGCGGGCTCCCGAGGGCGTCGCGACGGACGGACGGGGGGCTCGCGGGCTCCCCAGAGCGCCGCGACGGGCAGGGTGGGGGGCCGCGCATGCTCCCCAGGGCTCCGCGACGGACGGGCGGGGCGCGCGCTGGCTCCCCCACAGCAGTAAACCGCCGCGCGCCTCGGGGCGCACGGCGGGCAGAAAACCGCCGCGCGCCCCGAGCGCGCGGCGGGATGAAAAATAAGAGGCCGCGCACCACGGGGCGCGCGACACAGCGTAGGGCAGCGGAAGCAGTAGGAGGGCCCACAGGCCAGGAGCGTATGTGCTCTGATTCCATGTGAAGATAGTGTGTAGAGTTAGGATCAGGAGCCATAGCTAGGAGAGTCCTAGCTAGGCAAGAAACAGTTTAGGCAAAAGAGAGAGGTTTTCACTAGCAGCAATGAGGATACATATAGCAAACCCTAGATGGGCTGTACTCGCTATAGAGCACCCCACTACAGGCTAGAGAATAACATTCTGACATGGGCCACCCGAAAAAGCAACATCACTCAGGTCGTTCGACTCTTTTCCCTAAGCCAATAGGGATCCGAGCGCTTCCTTAGCATTTGTCGGCAGACGCGGCCGTCATCGCAGGTGTCGAACTTTTCTTTGCGCGCGATCCAAGACGGAATTGTTCTGGTAGGTTTATTTGAGCATGCGCCACCCGAATATGCAACGACATTCAGGTCGTTCGTGTCAGAATGTTATAATTGTCTAGCCTGCAGTGGGGTACTCCATAGTGAGTACAGCCCAATTAGGGTTTGCTATATGTATCCAACTGCTTGCTAGTGAACCTCCTCCTTTCTTCATTCTTACTTTCTACTGCTAGTTCTGACATGGTATCCGACGCCTAGGTCAGGACCTAGGACCGAAGTTGGTTTGGGCCCACCGTTCCACCGCGCCGTCGAGCGCCCCTTCTCGCGCCGTCGAGCGCCCCTTCTCGCGCCGTCGAGCGCCCCTTCTTGCGCCGTCGAGCGCCCCTCCTAGCGCCGTCGAGCGCCCCTTCTAGCGCCGTCGAGCGCCCCTACTAGCGCCGTCGTGCGCCCTAGTGGCCGCCGCCCGTAGTCTGCCCATCGCCCGTAGGCTGCCCGTCGCCTGCCGTCGCCCGTAGGCCGCCCTTACGCTGCCCGTACGCAGCCCGTAGGCCGCGGCCGCCCGTAGGCCGCCAGTACGCCGCCCGTAGGCCGCTGCCGCCCGTAGGCAGCCTGTACGCCGCCCGTAGGCCGCTGCCGTCCGTAGGCAGCCCGTAGGCAGCCCGTAGGCAGCCCAGTGGCGGCCCGTACGCCGCCCGTAGGCCGCTCACGTGCAGGCCGTGACCCGCGCGCCGCGGCTACTTCACGCCGACGCCTGCAGCCCGCCGGAACCCGTGCGCGTCGCCCCCCTGCCCCTTCGCGACGCCCTTACGGGACCCGCGCGTCGCCCCCGCCTCGTCGCGACGCAGCTGCGGGACCCGCGCGTCGCCCCCGCCTCGTCGCGACGCAGCTGCGGGACCCGCGCGTCGCCCCCGCCTCGTCGCGACGCAGCTGCGGGACCCGCGCGTCGCCCCCGCCTCGTCGCGACGCAGCTGCGGGACCCGCGCGTCGCCCCCGCCTCGTCGCGACGCAGCTGCGGGACCCGCACGCGTCGCCCCTGCCTCGTCGCGTCGCCCCCGCGCGCGACCCGCGCGTCGCCCCTGCTCACCGTGGCGCCCTGCCCTACCCCGCGCCCGCCCTTGGGACGGCCGCCCCTGGCCCCTAGAGCAGCCGCACCTACAGCAGCCGCCCCTGGCCTCTGGAGCAGCTGCACCTACAGCCGCCCCTGGACCCTGGAGCAGCCGCCCCTGCAGCAGCCGCCCCTGGCCACCTGGAGCAGCCACCACAGCAGGAGCCGCCCCTGGACCCTGGAGCAGCCGCCCCTGCAGCAGCCGCCCCTGGCCCCTGGAGCAGCCGCCACTGCAAGAGCCGCCCCTGGCCCCTGGAGCAGCCGCCCCTGCAGCAGCCGTCCCTGGCCCTTGGACCAGCCGCCACTGCAAGAGCCGCCCCTGGCCACTGGAGCAGCCGCCCCTGCAGCAGCCGCCCCTGACCCCTGGAGCAGCTGCCGTCGCGGCCCGGCTCCGCCCTGCAGCAGCTGCCGCAGAGCTCCCTGCCGCGGCCCAGCCCCGCCCTGCAGTTGTAGCGGCCCCGCTGTCACCACCGTCTTGCGCCTACCGCGCCGACCACTGGTGAGCATTACCCTGCCCGCACTGCTACCACTACTACTGCTGCTACTGCCTCTACTGCTCCTACTGTTACTGCTGTTACTGCCGCTACTGCTACTACTTCTGCTCCTGGCGTGGCCATATGCAGCTCCAGGGCCGTGCGCGTGAGTCCCTCACGCCCCAGCAGCTTCGTGAGTGGTACGCTAGTTGGGGCTGTCGGGGTGGCCGTAGTGGTAGTCGCTCTCGAGTGGGTCGTTCGGGAGCTCCTGGTAGTGGACAGGTGCAGCTGTCGTGTCCTCTTTCGCCCCAGCAGCTTCGTGAGTGGTACGCTAGTTGGGGCTGTCGGGGTGGCCGTAGTGGTAGTCGCTCTGGAGTGGGTCGGTCGGGAGCTTCTGGTAGTGGACAGGTGCAGCTACCGTGTCCTCTTTCGCCCCAGCAGCTTCGTGAGTGGTACGCCAGTTGGGGCTGTCGGGGTGGCCGTAGTGGTAGTCGCTCTGGAGTGCGTCGTTCGGGAGCTTCTGGTAGTGGACAGGTGCAGCTGCCGTGTCCTGTGAGTGAGGCTGCCGCTCTAGGTGCTAGTGCGTCTGTTGCCCTAGGTGCTGGTGAGGCTACCACTCCCGGTACTCGCGTGTCTGCTACCCCAGGTGCTGGTGAGGCTGCTGCTCTAGGTGCTAGTGAGTCTGCCCCCCCTGGTACTGAGTCGACTGAGGCACTGCACACCTTCACACTGGACTCAGGTGCTTCTCGATGTTTCTTTCGTGACCGCACTACCCTTGAGCCGCTTGCTCGGCCAGTTGCTGTCTCTCTCGCTGACCCCTCTGGGGGTCCGGTCATTGCGACCTCCTCCACTGTCCTTCCTTGTCCTGCGGTCCCGTCGGGCACACTGTCAGGTCTCCACCTCCCCTCGTTCTCTACGAACTTGGTGGCGGGTTGTGCGCTCCAGGACGGGGGTGTTCACCAGTTCACCCCTGCCTACGAGCGCGTGACACACTGCACGTGTGCTCGGACGGGCCGTCACCTGGCTACCTTCACTCGGCAGCCGGGGTCGGACCTGTACACACTGACCACTGAGTCCCCTCAGGTAGCTGTGTCTGCGTCTACGTCAGGTCAGCTGTCGGCCCCCTGCTCGTGTCGCTCTCTGGCGCACGAGACCGTCCTCTGGCACCACCGACTTGGTCACCCGTCCGTTCAGCGCCTTCGTGCCATGCACAAACGGTACCTTGTCTCTGGTCTTCCCAGGGTTCTCCCTCCCCTCCCACCCTCGCCTGCTCCTCCCTGTCTTCCCTGTGTCGAGGGGCGGCAGCGCGCCGCTCCTCACTCCTCCTCGTTTCCCCCGACGACTGCTCCCTTGCAGACGCTCCACATGGACGTGTGGGGCCCAGCCCGCGTCCGTGGTCAGGGTCAGGAGAGGTACTTCCTGATAGTTGTTGACGACTACTCGCGCTACACCACGGTCTTCCCCTTGCGCACCAAGGGTGAGGTCCCTGATGTTTTGATCCCTTGGATCCGCGCTTCTCGTCTCCAGCTCAGCGAGCGTTTCCACTCGGACTTTCCTGTCCTGCGCTTGCACTCTGACAGAGGTGGTGAGTTCTCCTCCGACCTCTTGGCAGCCTACTGTGCGGAGCACGGCATTCGCCAGTCGTT